TATAATAATTATTATATTGTTATTATTATAACTTAGGGATATTTCATGTGTTTTTATTTGTTTGTTCTTACTCCATGCATCGTTTTATTACTTCATTTTATCTGCCTTGCTTTTTTTGCTATATAAATAAAGTTTATTATTATTATTATTATTATCATAATATATAAACCTGGTTATTCATCTCCCTGTAAACATGATATAACCTCCTGATCAACCAATCAATCAAACTTCATTTATAGAACAAACAAATGCAGTTTTTTTTTTACAAGTGAATTGAATACGAGATCTTTAAAGGATTGATAGTTAGGATTTGTAATACTACATAAATAAATAGATTATAGTAAAATGTTAATAAAAGGTCTTTATTTCTCACAATCTGAATCAGGTGTTTACACATCACAGTGATCTGGTTTCTCAAAACCAGGATAAATATGTTCTGAAAACATGTAAACACACTCATTGAGGTCATTTCTCTGTAGATATTTTCTTTCTGACCTACAAACACATCATCAGCTTCAATGTAAATGAGAAATATCACATTTAATTCTTATGTTTTTAGCCTCAGAACTAATTTCAGGAGGTGTTGAAGGTCTGACCTCAGTTCATGAGTCACAGTGGATCTGAAAGTGAACATTTTGCAGAGGTGGGAAGCAACAAAGTTTTAATGCCTTTGAGAGAAACCCCGTCATTGAACGCCAACATCACGACAGATGCAGACGTAACAGACGAAAGAGTTTCTGTTCAGCTTTACACACAAACAGTAGAAATGTCCTTCAGAGAGACAATCAGTAATTCTACTTTTAACTTCTCATTTTGATTCGTCTCATTGATCTCTGTTTGGAAACATCAGTGTCACAGTTATCCTGTTAACATCCCATCTGTTTGGTAAAATGTGTCTCTATCTTTCCTTTCTGAATGTAGTGTTTCCTCCGTGTTTTTCCTGTCTGTCAGGTTGGTTTCTCCACCTGCTTGTTACCATGACAATACACTTCTTTCACCAGTTTCTTTGAATAAAAGTAATTCATCCCTGTGAGATGACTCATCCGGGAATGCAGAAACACATGTGGAGGTGCAAAGTGGTTTTCCCCCGGCTGCTGATGAATAACAAAGAGATGATTATAAGTTCTTATGAAACGGGTCCGTGTGCGTCTGTGGAAGGACACAAAAGTCACATTTGTCTAGCGTGAGAAATTGAAAATTAGTATTTTCTGTTCAATAACATAAAGGACACAAGGTGCGAGGTTGGATATGAACTGTGCACCTGCTGTCGCTCCAGATGTACCCATAATCTCCTGCCTTAACGGATCCTTTTCTATCATTAGTGTGACATATTTTATGGATATTTAGAGAACAGTTGATAAACTGTACAATGAACCCAAACAGTGAACACAATAACTGCAGGAAATTTGTGTAAAACAAGCAGTTTGGAAGAATTTTGAGCAGATTATTTCCTGCCCTCTTGGACCGTCTCTAATGGAGGGTTTAGCGAAGGCTATGTGAGTGTTGCTCAGGTCTTTCACCGAGCCCTTATCCTGTGAGATTCATTGTTAAAGCGAGGCTAGGTAACACATTTCAGAAGCATTTTGTGTCATTTAATTCGACCTGCTTGTCTGCCTCTGCTCGCTCATTGTCTCTGAGCGGAGTCAGGCAGACAGTGCTAAAGTTAATGAGCTCGTCACATAAGAACGGCAGACGTTCCACCTCTACCTCCAACAGTTTGCACCAATAAACAAAGCAACAGATCAAACCAGAGTCAACATCAATGTGGCTTTTCAACAGTGGAGAGAAGTGAGGGTTATTTTCCTGAACCATGTAGAACTACGTATGAATGAGCACTGACAGTGAATAACTCTGGTTATCAGGGCTCCTGTCAGTGGGGGGGGGATATATCAGGCAGCAAGTGAACATTTTGTCCTCAGAGTGTTGAAGCAGGAAAAAAGGGCAGCGTGAGGATCTGAATCACTTTGACAAGAACCACATTGTGATGGACGACTGGGTCAGAACATCTCCAAACCTGCAGCTCTTCTCTGCAGAGGTCAGTACCAGTAAGCAAGGAAAAGGACCAGAGACAGGGTCATGGGGGGCCGAGTTGATGCAGGTGGGGAGTGAAGGCTGGCCCGTGTGGTCCGATCCAACAGACGAGCTGCTGTAGCTCAATCTGCTGAAACAGTTAATGCTGGTTCTGATAGAAAGGGGTCAGAACAGACCAGTCAGGGAGTCCAGTGCTCATAATGTTATGTGGATTTCTACTTTGAGTGATTTGAAGGTGACATTTTTATATATCACAGTCTCGTGATGCTTTCATAGTTTAATTTCCTGTGTGACAAATAAAGTAAAGAGAGAGAGAGAATACTGCAGCAGGTTCTTAGTAATTGAACACTGTGAGGAATAAAAGAAACCCATAATGATTCATATCCCCGTGAATACAATATCCTTTTCCCACCCTGTTAAACTGAATACAATGGCCTGATCTAAAATTAGCCCAGCTGAGTATTTAGGCCACCTCTGTAAGGAGCTGCCTGTGTAACGACAGAAAAGCCTCTCAGTGGTTTCTCCGTGCAGACACACACACACACACACACACACTTCCTCTGACCTTACGTCTGCACAAGGTGAGCGCTGATAATCTGCCGGAGGCTGGGAGAAAAAACGATGCCAGACGCCGTGACATGAGATTATTCTACATTTCACGGGTGGCTGCCTTTTTACATGGATGACTTCTCGCAGACAGCCGGTGTTTTCCTTCGCTAGGGCCGAGTTCAGTATCTGACTCTGTCCCGTTCCACCCTCCCCGGGGAGAGTTGGCCCTTTTTCTAATGCATGTAAACCACTTGTCCAACAGCCAGACCTCATGTCCCAGCGTCTAATCCTGTTTACAATATTACACGTTCTACAACAGCTCTTTGTCTTTGGCTGTAGGGATGGCAGCGTCGATCAGTCGGTCTGAAATGTCTTTTAAACTGTTAGATGATTAAAGCACTTGTTCCCAACCTTTCTCCTTAAGGGAAATAGTTTTATTACACTGACTCAGTGACATATTTTATGGATGTTTCATTTTATATTAAAACTGTACAATGAACCCAAACAGTGAACTCAGTAACTGCAAGAAGTTTGTTTTTGATTTAGATGAATTATTTCCTGTTTTGGGAACTTTTTAATACAATTCTCTGTCTGCATTATGTATTTATTTATCATACAAACTGAATCAGCTTCTTTTCTTGACAAATACATTATTTTCTTCTTATTGTTCAATCAGATGGAAAAACGGAAGATTTAAATCTTTCAAAACTGCTTACAAATCTTATTTTATTTAAGTCTCAGTAATAAAACAGCTGTAGTGCAGTGGTTCTCAACCTGTAGGTCGGGACGCTTCCTTGGGGGGTAAATGAAAATATTCACAGCAGGCCTACGTCTCTGCTTTTGGTTCACTTCACAAATTGTTTGTATGATTGTTAAAAATAATGAAAAATACATAAAACAGACACAGAATTGTATAAAAGAGTCCTCAATATTCATCCAAATCGACACAAACTTATTGGGTTGTACAGTTTTAAATATAATAAGAAATATCTGTAACACAGTCAGAGGTTGTCAGATTACTAAAGGACAGAAAAAAGATCCCTTCAGGAAAAAGGTTGGGAAGCAGAGATACACTGAGTATCTGGGGCAGCAGGACGGTGACTGTGGGACTGAGTCTAAATAAACTACAGTGTGTGTGTGTGTGTGTGTGTGTGTGTGTGTGAGAGATTGAGTCTAAATAAACTAG